CCAGCAAGCGGTATCAACACAAGCTTCGGGAAACAGCTAAAGCTGCCCCACAGTGCTGCACGGAGCCAGTTTGGCTCTGCCACACTGCAGCATAGGTAAATAAACTGCAGACAATGCAGTCAAAAGTATGAGCCTGAGGGTCAGTCCCAGATACAGTGTTACACAAGTTTATGAGGATTATCACTGAACATTCCAGGAAATTCAGAGTACTCAACATTCACATATGCAGTCACTCAATTGTTGTATTAGTTATTAACTAGGTATTAGTGTCTCGGCTCTACTCATTAATGCCCCAGAACATGATATTCAATACTGGAGTACCTCCTGAGATAAAAGACTGTCACAACTTCACTAACTCCTTCTTTCATATGGCCAGTGATCTGTTTCTTATGTCAGAACTTTATTAAAAATATAATCTGAAACCACTCAAAATAGCACTAAAAAAAGGCTTTTAAAACACTGTAATCTCACTTGTGCCTCACACCACTGTAAGATGAAAAGGTATAAAAATAATTGCCACCAGTTATTTGCAGTATTCCTAAATGCCAGGGAAGAAATAACAGCATCAGCTTAATCATCAAACCTCTTCTCTTTTGATAAAATCATTCTGTATCTGATGATATCAGCACTGCTGTTGGTGTAGGCTGATATTAGTCAGTGCATGATCTCGGCTCAGTTTTTAGATATTTGGGTCACCTATTGCATCAATGGAAATTGATGCTCTAAACTGTACTCCAAAGGAGGTTCTGTGTGAAGGAGGAGTTGCATCAACTGAATGATACAAACTGATATAAAAGCTGAAGTTCTATATAAGTGCTATATACAAAGTGGAGGGAACTTAACTTATGGTTTTTAAAAAAGCTTTGTGAATATGCACCCAGTGACTACACAGCTTGAAGTAATACAAGCAGCTTTTTACCAAAAATAAGAAATAAACACACATGCACTTAGAATACCGGCATCTTAAAGTTTAACACTGCCAGTGCTTTTTTCCCCAAAAGTAAGCTCAAAGAATTTTCCATCTATTAATCAATATAAATGATGTCTTTCTAGGCATTTGCTAATATATCTCTCATATAACATGAATAGTTGCAAAGTAAAAGCGTATAAAAATAATTATGCATTAGTTCTTACAAAATGCCTCTGACCACAGTGGCATCACCCTATTCCTGTAGGAGATGAACTCTTGCACAAAAAGTTTAGCTAGCTAATTTACTCAGTCAACACAGAATCACACAGAAAAGTCTGTGGCAAAACCAGCAATTGGATCTTAAAGTGCAGTGATCAAAATGAAATTTAGATAATAACAGGAGCATCAGATATTCGAGTTCAGGCAAAAATAATAAGCAATCCCATTTTCAATTTATTTCAGGGCTGATAAACATTTAGATATTGTTCCAACACACCAACCGC